AAATACCTAGGAATAAACCTACCCAAGGAAGTGAAAGACCTATACCCTGAAAACTATAAGACACTCATGAGAGACATTAAAGAGGACACTAACAAATGGAAATTCATCCCATGCTCTTGGCTAGGAAGAATTAATATTGTCAAAATGGCCATCCTGCCTAAAGCAATCTACAGATTCAATCCAATCCCTATCAAAATACCAACAGCATTCTTCAACGAACTGGAACAAATAGTTCTGAAATTCATGTGGAACCACAGAAGACCCCAAATAGCCAAAGCAATCCTGAGAAGGAAGACTAAAGTGGGAGGGAACTCGCTCCCCAGCTTCAAGCTCTACTATAAAGCCACAGTAATCAAGACAATTTGGTACTGGCACAAGAACAGACCCATAGACCAGTGGAACAGAATAGAGAGTCCAGATATTAACCCAAACATATATGGTCAATTAATATATGATAAAGGAGCCATGGACATACAGTGGGGAAATGACAGCCTCTTCAACAGCTGATTTGGAAAAACTGGACAGCTACATGCAAGAGAATGAAACTGGATTACCATCTAACCATGTACACAAAGTAAATTCAAAATGGATCAAAGACCTGAATGTAAGTCATGAAACCATAAAACTCTTAGAAAAAAACATAGGCAAAAATCTCTTGGACATAAATATGAGCAAGTTCTTCATGAGCATATCTCCCCGGGCAAGGGAAACAAAAGCAAAAATGAGCAAGAGGGACTATATCAAGCTGAAAAGCTTCTGTACAGCAAAGGATACCATCAATAGGACAAAAAGGCATCCTACAGTATGGGAAAATATATTCATAAATGATGGACCTGATAAAGGGTTAACATCCAAAATATAAAGAGCTCATGCATCTAAACAAACAGAAAGCAAATAATCCAATTAAACAATGGGCAGAGGATGTGAACCAGACACTTTTCTAAAGAAGAAACTCAGAGGGCCAACAGACACATGAAAATATCCTCCACATCGCTAATCATCAGAGAAATGCAAATTAAAACCACAGTGAGATATCACCTCACCCCAGTTAGGATTGCTACCATTCAAAAGACAAACAACAACAAATATTGGCAAGGTTGTGAAGTAAGGGGAACCCTCCTATACTGCTGATGGGAATGTAAACTAGTTCAACCATTGTGGAAAGCAGTATGGAGGTTCCTCAAAAAGCTCAAAATAGACATACCATTTGACCCAGGAATCCCACTTCTAGGAATTTACCCTAAGAATGCAGCAGCCCAGTTTGAAAAAGGCAGATGCACCCCTATCGCAGCACTATTTACAATAGGCAAGAAATGGAAGCAACTTAAGTGTCCATCAGTAGATGAATGGATAATGAAGAGGTGGTACATATACACATGGAATATTTTCAGCCATAAGAAGAAAACAAATCCTACCATTTGCAACAACATGCATGGAGCTAGAGAGTATTATGTTCAGTGAAATAAGCCAGGTGGAGAAAGACAAGCATCAAATGATTTCACTCATCTGTGGAGCATAAGAACAAAGCAAAAACTGAAAGAACAAAACAGCAGCAGACTCACAGAACCCAAGAATGGACTAACAGTTACCAAAGGGAAAGGGACTGGGGAGGATGGTTGGGAAAGGAGGGAGAAGTGGGACTGAGGGGCATTACCATTTGCACACATAATGTAGGGCGGTTGGCATGGGGAAGTCAGTACAACACAAAGAAGACAAGTAGTGATACTATAGCATCTTTCTACACTGATGTACAGTGGCTGTAATGGCAATGTGATGGGGACCTGATAATGGGGAGAGTCCCCAATGTTGCTCATGTAATTGTACATTAATGATACCAAAAAAAAGGAATACTTATTATGTAATTGCAGAAAGTTTAGCAACACAGTCACCTGCAGTAATGTGGGATGTAGAAAATTACCTAATGGGTTGGTCTGTCTAAGGAGACTTTTAGACAGACTATAGAAAGCCTGGTTGGTTTCCTCTTGCTGCTTATAGTGAAGTATGAAAGGAGATAGATAAGCAGAAGGAAAGGCCATTTAACAAAGAGTTGGAACTTACTGTTTCTAAAGATTCTCAGCTTTTCCCAGTGGCAAATATTGCTAAAATCAAAAATGACTTCTGAGCAAAAATCATTCCAGGCACTTTCAGGAAACTATGGTCTGATGGTAAAACTAAGGTTATGACTGTAAAATCTTTGAGTAAAATGCTAGAAGATCCAAGATATTGTCTCAGAAAATAATTTCCTCAAATAGGTTTTTTTCCAAGATGCAATCTCAGTGGATGCCCAGTGTGGAGAAGAGGGTGGCTTTTCTAATGGATTGAACTTTGGTAAGATTCACATGAAAAGGAAAAATGATTTTTAAGAGTCTGCTATTGGTAGAAACATCACCTGGTTGGTCTGAAATGGAGAGAAATTACAAAATGACCTTTGGATCCCTAAATTCTGTTGACAGGACCAAAGCTTGAACTGTGCAATTCCAAAATGGTCTACCTCTCATTGCAAAGGAATGATAATTCAAAGGATGGACCTAAGACCCCAGAGAGTGAAATCAAGAACCATGGATAGTTATTTATAAGAAGGAATAGGACTAAACTTCCAATTGAAGGATTTCTAACATTACCCTGAAATTTCTATGGACCAGTGACTCCTTTTTGCCTCTTGTTTTCTCCCTTCTTGAACAGGGATGTCTATAGTGATTGTCCTGTGTCTGTTGCACGTGTATACTTTGGAAATGTTTTGGGCAGATAACTTGCTTCTTTAGTTCATAGATCTTCTAATTGTGAGGGACTGTATTCTAGGAACTGTGCTAAACCACACTTGAGGAGGCCAAATAAAGATTTGACTTAGATGCCAACATCCTGGATTTCAAGCTGAAGTTGTAAAAGGATGAGAGAAGGAGACATTTTTCTTTTCTCATCTTTTCTTTCATTCTTTGTTTTCTTTCCTTTCTTTCTTTCTTTTTTTTTTTTTGTTAAGGTATGAGTTGAGTTTACACCTGAGAGGAGTGTAAGTAACTTGTGGTCAGAGGATAAGAGGATGGTTTAAAAATATGTCCACAAAATTTTTGGTATTCCTTTACTGAAAAGGTAACCTAATTCTTTTGTCCTTGAGTGTGGATTGTACTTAGGGACTCTAATGAATAGAATGTGTTAGAAGTGAAAGTGTTAGACTTCTGAGACTAAGTCATAGGAATGACTGTGACTTCATCCTAAATGTCCATCAATAGATGAATGGGTAAAGAAGATTTAGTACAAATACACAATCAAATATTATTCAGCCATAAAGAAAAATGAAATCTTGCCATTTGGAACAACATAGATGAACCTAGAAGGTATTATGCTAAGTGAAATAAGTCAGACAGAAAAAGACAAATACCGTATGATTTCACTTATATGTGAAGTCTTAAAAAAAATTAACAAACCAAAAATAGATTCATAAACACAGACAATGGACTGCTGGTTACCACAGGGTATGGGAGTTATGGGGTGGGTGAAATAGGTGATGAGGCTAAAGAGGTACAGAATTCAAATTATAAAATAAATTAGTCACAGGTATAGAAGTATAACATAGGGAATATAGCCAATAGTATTGTAATATCTTTTATAGTGACAGATGGTAATTACACTTATTTTGGTGAGCATTTAGTAATGTATATAATTGTCAAATCACTATGTTTTACATCTGAAACCAATATAATACTGTATATCAACTATATTTCAATAAAAACATTTTAAATGATTGTGTCTTCCTCCTTGGTTTGCTGTTGGTTCACTTGCTTTGGGGGAATTAGCTGGTAAATAATGAGGACACTCAAGCAGTCCAAGGGGAAGATTTATGTGATGAGCAGCTGGGTCCTCTTGCTTAAAACTTGAAAAAAATTGAGGCCTCCAGCTAGCAGGTGTGTGAATGAACCTTTTTGGGAAGCAGGCCATCCAGCTCCAGTCAAACCTTCAGATGACTGCAGCCCAAACATCATCTTGACTGCAAGCACATGAAAGATTTTGAGCCAGAACCACCCTGTTCAACCTCTGCCAGATTACTGATCCAAACAAACAATGTAAGATAATAAGTGTTTACTGATGCTCCAAACTGCTAATAGGCTATGTAGCAATAGATAACTAACAAAAGGCATAGTAGACATCATTAGTAAAAGATATGTTTGCAGAAAAACAATTGTTCAGTTAATTCTTAGGCAATTCAGATTTACTTTTTCTGTAACGTATGATGTTTGAAACTTAAAGTTAGTAGACCAAAGTTTAGGTTTGTAGAGGACTAATATATGGCTTCTATATTAGAGTGAAGCTACACTGGCACAGATGATATATTTTAATGTTTTGGTGAACATATAATTTGTGGGCTTCCAAATATTTTCTCAGGTGCTTTGTGACTGTTATTTGGGATTTTCCCATGTAACTCCACTTATTTCAAAACAGTGTTCAAGCTGATGTTTGAACTGTTATAAGAAATTAAAGCCAGGTTCATTCATAGAACTGAATGTAAGGTATGCTACGGGAAAAAATGTTGGAGGAATTGGTAAAGACTTACCTCTCTTCTGTTTTCAAGAATTGTATACGCAGAAGCTGTGGTGTTTCTTTTTAACATGAGAAGGCAGTCCAAAATATTTCTTGATTCTATAGTAAATATATCTTAATTTGTAAAAGTAAAAAGAGCTCAAATTCATTAACTATTTTCATATATTTAATTATGTCATAGTTTTAAAATCTTAGAATTATTTGACAGGGAAATACTTGAATATGAAAAAATATATTAATTTTTCTATAAAAGTTATATAGTCACTCAAATAAATCATCTGCAATCAAACTGTTTCTTGCTAACATTTAGCATTACTGTGTCACCATCTTTAATAAAAAATTCAAACTAACAGATGAAGTAGCTGAACCTTGAGAAGTGTTTGTTACTTTAGGTTATATTTTCATCACTAATAATTATCCTTTTTAAAAATTGAAATATCTAAGAATTCCCTCTTTTTCTCCTTCAGGGAATTGCTCCAAAGCTGGAATTTTCTACGACCTCAGTGATTACTGAATGTCTGATAAGTTCAAGGAAGTGCTGCACTCAGGTTAAAATCATTTAAAGTACCTAATGGCTTGATTTATTCATTCATATTTATGGACATTTGGCAAGCATTATTTTGTTTTGGCTACAGCTCTCTTCACTTCTATGGGGGTCGCTCTTTAGTTTAATAAAACTATTACCATAGATATTTAGCTGTTTGGTTACATCAATATATGTGAAGTGAAAAGTTTTATACACATGATAGATGGTGCCATGATGTTACTATTGTTATTATTATTTAATTTCATGGGCCTTTCTTTTAATGCAAAGAAATCAGGCTACCAGAAAGAGGTGAAGATCAAGAAGTTCCACAGAAAACTAGATTGGAGGCTTCTATAAATCTTAAAGAAACTCTACAAGTTACTGCAAAAAATTCAAAGGGTACATTTTTAGCAAATCTGACCAGAGGTTCTCAGGCTGGGATATTGGTGTTTAGTGAGTATGATTTCTTGAGTGTCTCTAATTTCTTGAGGGACTGTTACTCTTTTTGGTAGCTATACTAGTGGTGTTAGATCAAGGGAAACTTGGACACTCAAGCCTTAGTGCTTTCTATATTTATAAAAACTGCTTTAGTAAACTGAGATACCTAGATCTAATATTCCATGCTGTTCTAACTTCTTACTGAGTCACCAGGATCATCTTGCTACCTTGTCCACAGGTTATCTGATGGTCTAGGTGTCACTAATATGCAGTTGCATTGTGACCAGGTAACAAAGACTAACCTGTGATGAAGAGCCAGTAACATATAAAGCCCAGAGGGCCCAAACAGCGATGTACTGGACCTATGATGGAAAGAGTGGAATGTTAATTTACTACATTATCCATTTAGAGTGAAACTGCTAAGGATAGTAACTAAGACTTAAGCTAAAAAAGGTAACATATAGTTATAAAATTATCAAGGGAATTATTCTTAATTTGTTTAGCGAGATATTATTTAGTAAGTCAGAGTTTGGTTGTAGTTATTTAACTTTTTTGTGCAAGCTGAAACACATCTGTTAGAGATCTAACAACCTATGGCAAATGCAGAGATATGTTACTGACTTGTTTCTGAGATATGTGTTATGCATATTTATAAATTGGTAGAAGTGTTTTACCTGGACTCAGACAAAATTTTGCTCACCTCATTAGGGTATGCCTTTGAAGTGGGTGGATGGAAAATTTTTGTTGCCTGGAGTATAACATAGACAGTGAAAAGTACATCATTCTAAGTTTAAACTTGGTAGGAGACTCCTTTCTGAATTAGTCACCCCATTAGTAGTTTCACTGGGCTTCTGAATTAATATTTTCCTCTGTAAGCTTTTGACATCACATTTCTTTTTTTAACTTGTTATTTTAACATTGTCATAGTGTTTAAGAAAATATGTTTTAGAATCAGATATGATAAGACTGCTTTACAGACATAATATATAATTAATGAATTTTGTAGCTGTTATTGAAGTTTTTTTTCTTAATTAAGGGAATTGGAGGAGATCAAAAGACAATAGTTGAAAATAAGATAGAAACATAGTCTAGTAGGCACAATAGAGTATATGCTTTTATATAAAATTCTGAATATTAACAGCCTGAATTTTAATCTTATGTGACCTTATTTGAGAATTTGATGTCTTTTTTTCAAATGAATATTAGTTATAATTATAATTTTAGTAAATCAGCATTTTCAGATTCAAATATGAAAATAAGACAATTTTGTTTTTAAGAGATGATTGAGTGAAATAACATAAAATTATTAAAGTTTACAAGGACTTATAATGATCTCTATTTCTTTTGGTTCATTATTTTCAAATTGGATGTTTTGTCACCAATTGAATGGACTGACAAAATTAAGCATATTATTGTGATTTTCCGAAAGATAACTAGTTCTCTTTTTACCTACTCCAAAATAAAATTCATTATTAAATTTGTTATAATCAATAGTAGCTTTATTGATATGTTTGTTAATCTATATCAAGCAGCTTTTGCTGTGTAAAATCACCACACTAACTTAGTGGCTACAGGGAAATACTTGAATATGAAAAAATACACTAATTTTTCTATAAAAGTAATATAGTCATTCATAAATAAATCATCTGCAACATTTAGCATTAAATGTTAAACGAAAATGGCTTGAAACAAAATGGTTCCCATAATTCTGTGGATTTGGCTGGGTAATTCATTTAGTCTGGACTGGCTAGGCTACGGCTGAATGGTCTGGTAATTGGCTTGATTTCAGCTGGGTGATGGCCACAAGATTCTCATCATCTAGCAGGCTACTTTGACTTTATTCACATGGTGGCAGGAAGGTTTTCAGGAATAAAGGATAATAAATGCTTTCATGGGTCACATGCGATATTGTGCTGTTAGCCAAAGGAGGGAGCCATTTTGTAAACAGTATAAAACAACTACTATTTTAAGTGTTATTGAACAGTATTAGGATACGTTAAGGATTGAGTAGAGTTAACATATATTTGTAGCAGTTATACCACAGTTTTAATTTTCTCTAGTAGGATTCAGCATTTAAAAACTGTAATAAAGAAAGGAGATGGGGTTAACTATTTTAGGTTTAGTATAATCAGAAGTGGGTAAGAAGGAACTTTATAGCATTGCAGAAATGGATGATTATGGTTTCATCTGGGTCTGGAGTTAAGGGATACTAAAAACATAGGAAGGTCTGGGGTAAGAGGTCTAGGGACTGAGGAGTTGAAAAGGGCAAGAATAAAAGAAGAAGGCTGAAGAAAAGAAGTTTTGATCAGCAAGGGATTTTCAGAGTTTGAGATGCAATGGATCTGCATAATGATGAAAATCTAAGATAAAGTAGAAAAAGATAATTAAAGCTAAGAAATAGAAAGTCTGAGTCCAAGGTCCTGGAAAGATTCATTGCTTGAGCTTTTATTACACCTCAAAAGTCCTTGCTTTTGTGATTCACTGTAATGTCATAGAGATGGATGAAATGAGATAAGGTAAACAAATTCTGAATTACTTGTTGATGTCATTGGACAAGGTGGGAGATTAGGAGCATATCAAAAACTGTAGAAGAACAAAAAATAAAATAATCTGATGCTGCTGGTATGAAACTCATGGACTTAATTTTCCAATTAGGAAAATATGTTTTCTTTCCTGTTTGTCTACTTTTAAAAAATATTCAACTCTTCTCCCTTCTATTTCACGTCTGTTTTATTAGAATACATACTCTTAACAAGTAGGGAAGGAGGTTGAGATGTAGAGAGAGACCCTCCAGGATCAGCACAGATAAGAAAGGCTGATCTAGTTGGCTGTGATAGATTAAATGTGCCTTAAATTACTTTTTAAAGTTTTTTCTACCTGTAGTTTATATATATAACTACAGATATACATATGAATATATATATGTATATATATTCTGCCCAAGTTAATTTCTATTTTTTGTTTGTTTAGGATAAATTTATTTACCATACAGCTCGAGATGAAAAATCACACAGCAGACTGCAAAGCAGAACATCAAGATCACAAAAGAAAAAATCCAAGTCACCTGAGAGAAATAAATATTGCATAAATGCAAAAAACTACGAACAGCCTACAATATCTTCAAAATCACACTCTCCGTCTCCCTACACAAAAAGACGCATGTGTGAACTATCTGAAGACACCAGGCAGCGGCTGGCCCATTTAAATCTGGGACCCTATGAATTCAAAAAAGAAACAGATAAACCTCCATTTGTGATTAGACATGTATGTGTTCTCTCAAACATTTCCATTTGAAACTGATGTAATCTCTTTTTCCACTAAACATTATTCTGAAAGCTCTTTCAACTTCAACTTCTAGCTTATAATAATAATTTTCTTTCCGGAACTGTTAGCCTAGCACTCTAAAATGAAAAATTAACTTCGAATAAAAGAACTTTTTTGTTAGTCTTTTAAACCTGACAGAGCTCAAGCTCCATTATGAATGGCATGTTAAATCCTTTCTTCTTATACAGTGGACAGCATAATAACTACAAACTGAACTTAGATATAAATGACATTAGTATAAAAAATGCAGGGGTAGGGTTTTAAAAGAGGACCAAGTTTTCTTTATGACTCCCCAGCCCCATCCCCCAAGTCTTTTATAATACGATAATGGAAAATAAGTTTCCTTTGAAATTGCATCCCTTGGGTAAACCTTATGTAATGGAGCTTTTAAGCAACTTATTACTTGATGAGGATGGGAAGGCCTTTAAAAGTGAGGAGTTAACTTAAGGGTAGCATAGTTCTGATCTTTACAGCAGCCTGCTTTCGGTATGGTTAAGCTTAGAGCTTGGGTCCATATGATAGTCAAATAGACTTTGACTAATTTTAAGTATCTACAATTTTAAGAGTCTAGAATATTTGATAAAGGACTTTCTCAGAATCTTCATAATTTCTTGAATTTTTATAAAGAATTTTTAACTTAAAAGTATTTCTTTAACAAAAGCTTGCAAATTAATAAAAATTACTAATAAACATATAATAAAATTAAACTTCTAATATTTAGGTGCCTATAGAAGCAAAACAATTTTTTATGATATCTATAATACTGTTTCAAGCCTTAATGTCTCTAATTCATTTTTTCCAAATTCTAAAATGTAATCATAAGTGTGGACATGTAAATATGCTCCTTTGATAATCTAATACCTTTTTGAATTTATACAGTCTGAGAGTTCCTATTTTTTTGTGTAATGCCTTTTCAAAAAAATGTACATGTAATTATTATATTTAAGAAACATTCCAATTCATCTTTATATTTTTATTCTGAATCCTTTATTCTTTTAACCTGAAATAAGTTTTTTATTATAAGAAAAAATTTATAATATAATGGGTATTTTTAAATGATAATCTTTTGTTGAGATAATTGTGATAAATTTTGATTTATTTCTATAGAATTCATTTATAGGTTTTGGTAATTTTTTTTGTTGTTTCAATAATATCCAGATAATGTTTACTTGCTTATTTGATGGCAGCTTCAGAATGTCTTTGCTTTTATGTCTGTCCACAATTGTAAATTAAGTTGAAAAGAAAGGACTTGCTGAATTCTTAATAGTGGCATTTTAATTAAAATGCCTATGTGCAAAGATAACCAGGAAAATTTGGGTGTAAGCCACATAAAAACTGTTTAGGAAAATAACTGCATTTCAAATATTTATTATTTTTTCATGTCTGTGTTTAAAATAGAGTAATTCTAATACCACTTGGTATAAACCTTGACATTTTTATTTAAATGATTTCCTTCTTAGCTTTCCAATGAACAGAAAGAAATGCACACTTATAAGCCTATAGTTAGAAAATTCTAGCATTATGTATGAGAGACTGGATTTTTCTAATTTTATTTGTAAACATAGAAATATCTTCCCACCCCCTCATAGCCATTCATGATTCTGAAAGCACTTAACAAATTTATAACCAAACAAAATTTTGATTTGATACATGCATGTGCAAAAAGTAAACACTTTTAGGAAAGACATTCTAGTTTTTCATACATTATATGAAAAATCATTCTAAAGAATAAGGAGCACTTTGAAGAAATCAATTAGCATGCTCCCAAATAAACTGACACAACCATCCTAGAAGAGTTAAACAGCATTCTTTTCTTTTTCATTCATGCAAAATATGCTTTTTTTTCTATAGTGGTAAAATACACAAAACATAAAATTTACCATTTCAACCATTTTAAAGTGTATAATTCAGTGGTATTATGTTCATATTGTTATACAACCGTCACCACTATCTAGTTCCAGAACCTACAATTTCTTCATCATCCTAAACAAAAACCCTGTACCTATTAAGCATTTACTCCTTGTCCCTACCTTCCCCAGTTAGTGCCAACCACTAATCTCCTTTATATCTGCGTGGATTTCCTATTCTGCCTTTTCAAGTAAATGAAATCATACAATATTTGACCTCTTATGTCTGGCTTTCTCATTTAGCACATTTATCTCACTCACTGTTTCTGATAGTGCTTGATTCTTTTTATGACTGGATAATATTTCATTGTATGGATATGTATGTCATTTTGATTACCCATTCATCTGTTGATGCACCTTTGGGTTGTTTTCCTTTTGGTTACGTGAATAGTGCTTCTATGAACGTTATGCAAATTTTTGTTTTAATTTTTTTTGTACCTGTTTTAATTCCTAATTGCTTTCATATCTAGGAGTGGAATTGATATGCCTTATAGTACATCTATGCTTATCTTGTTGAGGAATTGTTAAGTTGTTTTCCACAGTGGTTCCCCATTTTACATTCCCTCCAGCAATATACGAGGATTCCAGTTTATTCACATTCTCACGAATACTTATTTTCTGTTTTGTTTTCTTTTTATTATAGCCATGCTAGAGTGTGTAGAGTGTATGCCATTATGATTTTGATTTGTATTTCCCTATAGACTAATGATGTTGAGCATCTTTTCCTATGCTTGTTAGCCATTTATATATCTTCTTTGGAGAAATGTCTGTTTGTTCTTTGCCCATTTGAATTAGGTTGTTTGTCTTCTTGTTGTTCAGTTGTAAGTTTTCTTTATATATTTAGGATTCTAGATCCTTGTTAGGTATGATTTGTAAATATTTTTTCTCATTCTGTTGCATCTTTTCATGCTACTTTTAAAAAATTTTTTATTTTTTAAAAATTCAGTAAAATATGCATAGTATAGTTTACCATATTAACCATTTTTAAGTGTACAGTTCAGTGGCATTAAGCACAATCACGTTGTGTAATCATCACCACAATCTATCTTCAGAACATATTTCGTCTCACTAAACTGAAACACTGTATACCCTTTAAATATAACTTCCCATTCCCTTTTCCCCTCAGCCCCATCAACTAAAATTCTACTTTCTGTCTCAATGAATTTGACTACCTCATATATGTGGAATATATATTTGTCCACATGTAACTGGCTCATTTCACTTAGCATAAGTTATCAAGGTTCATGCATGTTATAGCATGTGTCAGAATTTCCTTCCTTTTTACCACTGGATAATACTCCTCTTATATGTATATGCCAGATTTTGTTTATTTATTCATCTATTGGGCAGTTGGATTGCTTCTACCTTTTAGCTATTGTGAATAATGCTGCAAACATTGTGTAAAAATATTTGTTCAAGTCCCTGCTTTAAATTCTTTTGGGTCTATACCCAGAAGTGAAACTGCTAGGTCATATGACAATCCTATTTTGAATTTTTTAAGAAACCACCATACTAATTCTCATAGTAGCACCATTTTATATTGCTACCAACAGTGCCCAAGAACTTCAGTTTCTCCACATCCTTGCTGACATTTATTCTGTTTTTTTGTTAATAGCCATCCCAATGAAGTAGCATCTCACTATGATTTTGATTTGCATTTCTCTAATGATGAATGATGTTGAACATTTCCTCTTGTGATTATTGGTCATTTGTGTATATTTTGGGAAAATGTTGTTTAAGTCTTTTGCCCACTTTTTTTTTTATAGATTTGAAGAAATTTTTTATGTAGTCTAGATATTAATGCCTTATCAGATAATGATTTAGAAATATTTTCTCCTATTCCATGGGTTGTCTTTTCACCCTCTTGATCTCTTGATACTGTCCTTTTTGCACAAAGTTTTAAATTTTGATGAAGAGAGCTGTCTTTTTTACACAGATTTATACCACTCTGACTTACTTTTGTTTAGAAAATAAAGTTGACTGTAAGTTAGAAAGCACTCAGCATGCTGGGCTCTGAACAAGCTTAGAAAAGACACTGAATTCAAAACCTCAGTGATAAGAAGATAAATAGTAAATGGCTACACTTGTTCTTTTTTATTTTATTTATTTTTTATTATTTTATTTTGTTATCAGTAATCTACAATTACATGAAGAACATTATGTTTACTAGGCTCCCCCCTTCAACAAGTTCCCCCC